AAAGAGGTTGCAACTTAAATGGCCTTCGTTTCACACACCCAGTGCAGTGGTTCGCGCAATGGACGGATCACGGAGCAACAAACGGAGGACAACGCTGACATCGTTCTCTCAAATGTCCGCGGTCTACCCAACCAGAAAATGAAATTAAAGCATTTGTTCACGCCCGCAAGCCGGCAGTTGTCGCTGGCGGGCGACATTGCCGACTCTGAAGTGCCAATCCCGGGTTATGTCGTGTTTCGGGCGGATCGAAACCCAATACGGGGGGGGGAGGTGGAGTAATGGTATACATTTGTGTGGAGCTGCCGTCACATCTGGAGGTGCTTGTCGATCAGCAGGGGCTCTCGGAATGTTTGTGATGCAACATTAAACTTTCCCGCAACGGCTATAATGNACCCTCCACTATTGTTGGAATCCATGAGGCGCTGGGCTGCGAATGGTCACTGTATAGTGCTCGAGGACTTCAATGCACCACACATTGACTGGGCCTCAAACTGTTACGCCACGTCTGCTGATCACTTCTCACGGGAACTGCATTCAAGAGTCTGTGAACATGTGGAAGAACCCACTCGCAGTCTTGGTCAGCAATTGTCCACACTGGATCCTGTTCTAACTCCTCGTGTCTCGGACGTATCCCACATCCAGTTTCTCCCGACTTTCGGTGCCAGTGATCATGTGGTGTTGATTGTATGCTGGAGACGTGGGACCCCATTCTCACAACCATCCCCAGAGAGACGGAATGTATGGCGGATGCAGTTCGATGACATGCGTACCACAGCGCAGTTGTTAAACTGGGAGCCGATCGACAAAGATGTCGAAGAGTCGTGGTGTGTCATCCGAGACTGCCTACTACAGTTGGTGCAACTATTCGCCCCTGTACGCCGGAGCCGGCCTCATGCCATGGGACCACCCTGGTTCGATCGTATGCTTAGAAGTATGCTCCGCAGGAGAAATCGTGCTTGGAAGCACCACCGCACTTTGAATGCGGGCTACGACGAATACCGACTAATACGAAACCAGTGTTCGGCAGCTAAGGTGGCCAAACGCCGTGCTTTCGAGGAGCGTCTAGCTGCTGAATCTGCCACGGCGCCAAAGGGGCTATTTGCGTACTTGAAAAGGAGCACTAGGACGGTACCTGGACTTCCGAGTCTTGTCGAGAATGAAATCACTGCTGACACTGATGTGGACAAGGCTGGTGTACTTGCTCGGCATTATGCTTCAGTGTACACAGGAGAGATCTCAAATTCGTCACCCTCACCCCCTCATAGGGTTTTGTGTTCACACCCTCCTGACGTGCTCTCAATCAGTGCCTCTTATCTGGAGGCCAATAACGTCGCCAAGGTACTAAGTGAACTTCGTTAATACCAATCCCCGGGTCCAGATGGAGTTTACCCGTTGGTGCTGAAGGAGCTGGTTGATGTCGCATCAACTTCGCTAGCCCAAATGTTCCACTTGTCTCTCCGGATTGGACAATTACCATCGGACTGGAAGAAAGTGCTGGTTGTTCCCTTGTTCAAAGGTGGTGATAAACATGCCCCGATCAACTATCGGCCCGTGAGTTTGACATGTGGGGCATGTAAGGTGTTAGAACAATTAGTGGAGAAGCACATTATCAGTCACTTGGAGGCGCAACATCGTATTCCTTCTCGACAACATGGCTTCTAACAGGACCACTCCTGTTTATCAAATCTGTTGGCGCGTGAGCATTGGGCAGNGCAGAGTCTAAAGTTGAAGGTGATTCCACGGATGTTGTGTTCGTGGATTTCAGCAAAGCATTTGACAAGGTGTCTCATTCGAAACTACTGGTAAAATTGAGGTCGGTGGGCATGCAGGACCCGTTGCTCTCCTGGGTTGAGGACTTTCTGAGGGACAGACTATTCTCGGTGAAAGCATCAAGGGCGCGATCATCATGGTTGACGGTTTCTAGTGGCGTTCCACAGGGATCGGTACTGGAGCCAATACTGTTTCTGCTTGTCATCAATGACCTGCCGGACTGCCTGGAATCGGGATGTCTGTTGTACGCGGATGATCTGAAGATCTGGAGACCTATCCAGTCATGAAGTGACGTGAACACCCTGCAGGGAGACCTAGATTCTTTGATGCGCTGTTCGAGAGCGTGGGATTTACCCATCAACCCTACGAAGTGCCATTATATGTCAATTGGCCGGTGGCCCAGGTCAAGAGTGTACCACCTTATGGACACTCCTTTAATGGCATCCGCATGCGAATGGGATCTCGGGGTGCTGGTTTCCACGTCGCTAAAACCCAGGGAGTAGACAGACAGCCTGTGCTTTGAGTTGGAGAATCCTTGGAGCCGTTCCTTTTCCAAACTCTCATACGATGGTTTCAGGGCGCTGTACACCTCTCATGTCAGACCTCGTTTGGAGTTCGCGAGCGCCGCGATATATCCGTGTACAACTGCCGAAATTTTGAAGCTGGAGAGTATCCAACGAGCTGCCACTCGCATGATTGCCGGGTTACATGAGTGTTGCTACACTGAACGATTGCATACCACTGGTTTGTTCTCAGAGTCATATCGCCGAGTACGGGGTGACATCGTATGTGTACGACGTATTCTACGTGGCGACATGGGCCCAAAGCTAATGGAGTACTTCCCTCCTGCGCGAAGAGCAAGACTCGGGGACACAGACTTACGTGACTGAAGCTTCCGTCAATAGGATTACCTCTTCGGTACCGACTATCGCGCAGGGTAACCAGTCGATGGAACTCCCTTTCAGCCATGTGGTGGACGAGGTAAATGATAATATGTTCAAGAGGAAGCTCGACAGCGTCCTTCGCGAAATGTGGAATGCAGATCAGTCCCGAATGCATTCTTCCAGTCTATGGTGACGACGCTCATACCCACTGCCTCCAATGGAAGAACATTGAACATCTTCAATTTGCGTGATCACTAGAATGTTTTCCAAAAGCAAGATAGTATACTTAACGTGTCGTGGTCTTTTCAACTCATGATAATGACAAAGGAGCCTAATGAATGATAATACGATTCAGTGTTTCGTCGCTGGTGGGTGTATATTGCAATATCGCCCGTGTTTAAGAGTGGTTTAAGGGCAGATCTGGCGAACTACCGTCCCGTCAGTTTGACATGCATTTGTTGCAAAGTGATGGAACGGTTGATCTCTAGCAGATTGTATCGTCATCGGGCACAGTGTCAACTGCTGTGCCACCAACAGTCCGAGGAGATCCTGCCTTTCAATCCTTCTTCTGGCGAGGGAAGAATGGTGTGACGCCAAGGCCAGTGTGGCAGTCACGGATGTTGTGTATGTCTACTTCAGTAAAGCCTTCGACAAGGTTCCACGAGACAGGATGCTTTTGAAGTTNTGAAGTTGAGAAGCTTTGGAGTGACGGATCCAATATCTACTTGGGTGGAGGATTTTCTGAAGAGTCGACTTTTTGCGGTGAAGATTCGTGATTCTTTATCCTCATGGCACCCAGTTCTCAGTAGAGTTCCGCAAGGTTCAGTTCTTGGTCCGATGCTGTTCCTGTTGTATATCAACGATCTGTCCAGCCGGTTGCAGTCACCATGCCTCGTCTACGCGGATGATTTGAAATTATAGAGACCAGTTCAATCGTCACTAGATGCGGCAGATTTACAAGCCGATTTGGATAGACTATCCGATCGGGCGGAGGAGTGGGCGCTCCCCATCAACATTGCCAACTGCCGATGACGTCGTCTGTCTGTTCGAATTTATGGAGGACACGCAAAGCGCACTTGATACATTAACAAGTTCAGTTGCCGCTTTCGGTATGTGCTTTGCATCTTCAAAGTGCAAAGTAATGCTGCAGGACTGGGTATCGCCTACGCCCGCTCTTAAACTAAATGGTCAGGATTTAGTTACAGCGGGTTGCTTTTCCTACTTAGGTAACTGAATGACCAGTGATGGTAGCGCAGCAAAAGAAGTAACTTTTTTATTACACACTAAGTGATTTACAGCAAAAGGGGTAGACCCCATAATCAACGATATACTGTAAGGTGGAGGTATGTGGGGGAACATTCAAGTAAGAACCAATTTGTTACTCCTGCTTTTGAAAGGGATAAGGTTATAAGAGCTGGGAGAAACGGAAATGAGAAGAGTGTTCCATAATTTCGCAGTCCTCGGGAAAGAGAAGATTGAAAGATAGAAGTCCGACATCTGGGGACAGAAACCTGATAAGAGTGACTGGTCGCCTGAGAACGAGATGAACGAAAGGTCAATGGAAGGGGAACAGCTGAAGCGAGTTCGGAAGAGCAGAAATCAAAATAGTAACGATAGAAAAGAGATAACAAAGCAACTGACCGGCGATTGGAAAGCGACTGCAGGTTGAAAGTTAAAGACAGTTCGTCGATCAGCCGGATGGCTTTACGCTGAACACGATCAAGAAAGCAAAGAGAAGGCGAAGCTCGACCCCACACGTGACTACCGCATTCAAGAGCAGGGTGGATTTGAGCTGGGTATAGCAGAAGATGAGTTGGGGTGAAAAAACGTCTGGCGCGAAATAGAAATTTAATCTTGCGGGCAGCACGAGAAGCAAGCCTAATTATTCCTCCGAAAGCCTCAGTATGGTGGGTGGGTGTCTAGGGTTACGGCTGCTCACCCTGCCCTTGCACCTCGTGGAATGCTCCCATACGACCAGGCTTCTCAAATAGCCTCTGCTGAGGAACCCTACTCACTGCCTTCCCAGGGCGGTGTGTTCCCACCAAAGTGAAAGAACGAAAAGTCAACATCCGGGGCTATAACCGGGTTAGTGGACCACTGGTAGTTCACCTAGGGGAGTTAGCCAAAAACCCTGATTCCGAACCACACCTTTTCGGTCGTGGCAGTGGTCACCGGCTCGATTGGGCATCGAGGTGTATTGGGCACCTTAAATGTTTGACCCCGTCCAGAGGGCGTATGATCCGATGAACTGGATACCGGCCCCCAATGGACTGCAGAATCTGGGCTCCACCCTGTCCTACAGGTCTGGCTTTCTAGCGAAAGGCTTCGGATGGGGACTCCGAGGTTATCCTCCTTCCTCGCCCAGGGCAACCGGGAAGTAACATGCCCACACAACCTCTGAACACATGTTTTAGGTTTCTTTTTGTTCATATATTCTGGCACATCTGCCAGTTATCCGTAGTTGGTTACATGTTGGAATAATGTTGAATAAAAGCTTAATTATAAAAGGGGACCAGCATAAATAAGAAGTTAGTAAATTCAAGAAAGGAAACAGAGTCTGTGGAACGCAGTTGAATGGAATCAAAAGATAACTGGGGGAAGAATAAATGGTGTTTTAAAGAAATTGAAGAGACAAAAACACCGCCACGAGAAGGCAGTGAGTAGGACTTCCTCAGCAGAGGCTATTTGAGACACTTCGTTGTATGGGAGCATTTCGCGAGGTGCAAGGGAAGGGTGAGCAGCACACCCACCCCCGATAGTACTGAGGCTTTCGGAGGCGACTGATACGCAATACGGGAGGTCTGCGAACGCCAGTTAGTGAAACAGTCAGCAATAAGAGTGAACAAGCAATTCACAATAGGGCTGAACGATTTGATCGCTGGTCGGAATACTTCGGCGAATAGTTCAGCTAACCAAGTTTCTTCATCTGTAACTGAAGTTCCCTGGTCAGTGACGTGTGATTCTCCAACAGAAGCAGAGGTTCGGTCTTGCATTCAAGCTGTGAAGCGAGGAAAAGTAACAGGACCAGATTGGCTCTGTCCCGCTCTTTTCAAGATGAAGATGATAGTCCCATAAGTTCTCTAACTACCTAACTGTGCAACATATGGACACAAGAGCNCGTATTCCTTCATCTGGAGGCGAATCACTTATTGTTCCCATTTTCAAGAAAGAATCTCCCAACGATTGCGAAAACCATCGCGGGATAAGTTTGATCGGTGAAGTTCGCTTGACTTTACTTCGCTGTATGATGATAATGATTATCAAAGTGCCTCGGTCATACTTCGACATCTGACTCGTTTAAGAGAGATCATTATCCGTGAACAGCAATCCGGCCTGGTGGTGGATGTATTAATCGATTTTTTGCGTTGCGCCAGTTCCTTGAGTTGCATCAGACCCACCGTCGACCAACGATTGCAGTATTCTTTGACCTGAAAGGAGCCTTCGACTCAGTTGACCGCGAACCTCTGATGAGCTCCCTTCTTCGAAAAGGAATGCCCCAGGAGCACGCTAACCTACTGAGGTCACTGTGCTCACATACCTCTGGTCGAATGAGGATTTACAACGAGTGAGTAGGCTGTTCGTCACCGGCAGCGGCGTTCGTCAAGGGTACCATCTTTCGCCATTCTTATTTAATTTCGTAGTAGACGACATATTGGAGGACGCATTTAGTGGTCTCCAAACCGTAGGAGTTAAATGGACAGTTGTTCGATTTGGAGTGTGCCGATGACATCATCTGTCTGTTCGAATGTATGTAAGACGCGCAAAACGCACTTGATAGACTAACAAGTGCGGTTGCCACATTCGATATGTGCTTAGCACCTTCAAAGAACAAAGTAATGCTGCAAAACTGGATGTCGCCTGCCCTCGCTCTGAAACTCAGTAGCCAGGAATTAAGTGTAGTGAATCACTTTTCGTACTTAGGTAGTTACGTGACCAATGACGGTAGCGCAGCAAAGGAGATGGCCGCGTGCATTTCCAAAACTCGAGCAGTATACGCAGGACCGAAACACCTTTGGTGTAGACGTGACGTTTCACGAAAGTTGAAATGTGTATATTGCGTTAGCGTTCGTTCAGTTATGCTTTATGGTTGTGAGACCTTAAATTTGTGAGTAGAAAATATTCGTCTGCTAGAAGAGTTCAATTATCAATGTTTACGTAGTTGAGCCCAAATGGGATGGAGCGGACAAGTTAGTAATCTGAACGTATGCTGTCGTGTGTTTGAGAGTTTATAAGGGATAAACCTGCTAGATCATCGGATTCAGATTAGTAGGCTTCGCTCGCTGGGACATGTATTGCGTATGTCCAACTGTCGTCGCCTCTTGGGATTTCATTTGAGCGTTAAAGCCCTCGGAGGCTACCACGATAGCCGTTGGGTGAAAACCGCGGAGCAGTCAAATTAAGTTATTGTGGAAATAACTTTTCATTTCAGATGTACTGCAATCGGTTAGTGCATACACGGAGACAAAGAATTAGCGTCAGCGCTTCGTTCCTTGGATGTTGACTCTCACAGAATCCCATGGACGTACTGCACACAGTGGGCTGATCAATGGAATTCAGTCTAGCAGCGAGCGCGGAACCTGGAATCTTAGGTGCGGGACCTTAAGTTTGCGCGTGGAAGATATTCGTCTTCTAGAAGTCTTCGACTGCCGACTGCTCCCTTCACTCGTACCGGGTTAGGCTGAAAGAAGCGCCGCGGCAGTCAGACCATGACATGGTGTAGAGACATGAAAAAGCTAGCTTCCGTTCGTGTAGCCCGCCTTCCAGGTTGGGGCCCAAGGAATGAGGTTATCGTTGGTTAGAGACGCTGATGGATGTGGCCCGGAATAGGAGTCAGTGGCACGAATGCTGTACGGTCTGCCTATCGAAATCCCGTGCCCCATAGAAAACAACCAACAACACAAAAATATCATATAATGTGCGGTAAAACACAAAACAATTTGTTATCTCAGCTATCGGCCATTTTCGCGTGTTTATCTGTTTCATACTCTTTCCACTTTGTTCTGTATTCCGATCCGCCTGCCCCCTATCGTTGTTTTTGTTATCATTATCGTGAGGTTGGTACCATGCTTGTCTACAAGCCGCTGTTAAATATGTTTACGCAGTTTGGCGCAGGTAGGATGGGGTGAGCGTGTAAGCAACTCTGAGGTGAGGCATCGCGTATCTGTTAATGATTCGATGGAGAATTTATTATCCCCCCGACTTCAGATTTGTCGGCTCTGCTGGTTAGAACACGTATTGCTTATGCCCAGCCATCGTCTGCCGCAATGCGCTTCATTCGTTGTAGCTAATTCGGGTTGCAGGAAACCGTGTGGAGTTCAACAGATGACGTGGAGACGAGGCATGAAGAAAAGCACAGAGCGATTAGGTAGAATTGATATCTCTCATCTTTCTTGTCATGCCAGAATGCTTGAGACGGTATGAATGCAGAGTTCGATTGTGCACTCTCTGTGTTGACCATAGTGGTTCACCTTCTTCTCCTTCTCTCAAAATAAGTCCAATCCCTGTCCACCTTAAATATTACCACCAACCTTGTATGCATTGCGGATTTGGCAGCGATCAGCGAGGTTCACTTCACTCTATGTCAGTGTACGATGATGCTAATAACAGTCACATGCGAGCTTTGTTCACTCTTATTCTTTTCTAGTTAAACAGGTCGCATGAGTATCGTCCGATTTGTTCACCACATTCAGTTTGCTTGCAAAAATCTCTGGAGTGCTTATGATCACTTAGCGCGTGGTTTTGGTTACCACCTTTTTTGTGTCTCGCATCATGGCCCCTACTTGAATGTGGTGCTGAAAAATGGTCAGTCGATGATCATGTTGTCGGAAGCCGGAACTCCGGCCACCAAATGCTCATCAAACCGTTATGTGTACACTGTCACTAACGAGCTCATGTGTCGGGATCGTCCATTTGACATAGCTCTCGAGGTTTTGGATGTGAAGGAAATTTGCGATCGTGTTAAACGCCTAGATGGCCCTGATGGCATTTTGCTGGAGCCGACAACTTACACGGATTATCATGGCAAAGTTACCATGGCAGTTGTACAATCATGCTTCCGGGACGTATTACACACAGTGATCGATTCTTCCCACTACACAGGTCGTTTTATGCCAGGCTACATTTCTCCTGAGTTCGGATTGTCTCCCACACTGACGAAGCGGCTGCAAGGGAAACCGGTGATCAGTTCGAAATTTTCTTCATCCATTTTGGATCTGGACCACGTGGCTCTGGCCTGTAATACAAAAGAATCGAGTAAAGCTATCCAGTGGTACGGTGACATCTTTGGGATGCGAAAAATCCCTGCGAATCCGTAAGTGTATCTCATGTGACACTAATCCAATGGCAGCCAGTTTAGATAACGATATAAATGGTTTTGTGCTCAAATACGGTGATACAGGTATGACCCTCAAGGCGGTGGATTATGCCTCCGGTAAAATGGGCACCCCTGAGGCAGAAAAAGGCTCGTGCAAATTTGTCATTGTAGAGCCTCTGGACCGATCAAGTAAGCGTTCTTGATTGTTTGGTTTACAAAATGTCTCTGAGGTGGTTCACATGGTCTAAAATCAGTTTAACCAGCGCGTTGAATTTATTTTTTTATTCATCATTAGGTTGGACATAAGACTCCTGATGAAAAGATGTGTAAGGCTCCGATTAGATGCTGCCTTTTTTGTTAAGTACCAGTGTGTAAGCTACACCAAAAGAAGTAAACGCCATAGTTAAGAGGACTCCTTTCCTCATGGGAACTGACAATCTAAGCCACGGGAATTGGAGTAGCGAACCACATAAGGCCACACTAGCATAGGCGTGGTATTGAGTCGGTTGACAACGAAATCGTTGGGTGATATTGTCGAGGTTTTAACCCCACATCCTATGGCTTGAGGCACGCTAGCGGCAGCAACTTAATCTTTTTGCGAGAATCGCGAGTTCTAGTTGGGGGAATTGGAAACATAGAAGCATAAAATATACGGGGTTGGCAGAATCCAAGCATTTGCTTACCTATCCATTTATATCCGTGCACTACTTGGGTGGTTTACCACGAATAGATTGGGATTCGCTTCAATGAATAAGCGGCTGTAGACGGTTATCGACTGTCTGCGAAAAGCTTGTGAAAAATATCTTGACTTACTCCTAATCCTGCCGCCACCGCCATTGTCGTCTTGTTGTCCTACAGAGAGAGGTTTTGTTGCGTAATACTGTATTTCACATATGTTTGGATCCAAACTATGTACCAAACAATTCACGGTCTAAAAATCTTCGAAACGAAGAAATAAATTTGTGGTCAGCTAACATAGACCAAAGAAGACGCATCCTCTCGGAAGATTTACAGCCAGAGCCTTTGGTTATTCACGGGTTGTCGAGCGATGCGTGTGAAATCGCAATCTATCGGGGTTTGGTGACCAGCCGATCGGACCGTACACCTTTCTACGGGGTAAAACCATAAATGGTTTGAAATATAGCATGCATATCGCTCTGCTAATCCATTCAAAAGCAAATTTCTTTTGGGTGCATGGGTACTAGTTCAGTGCCTTATCACTCAACGCACATCAGGTGAGAGATTTCTCCTGTAATACTGTGCCAGTTGAATCAGTTAAAGGTAGTGGCAAGAGTGGTCTTGCATGAGCCAACGTTCATGACTGTTCCTTCACAATTCCTGTGCACTGGTAAGTTCGTTGTGAGCTTTCTAATGCATTTAGTAATTAACTCGTTTTTGTACGTTTCAATCCAACTATTTCCCCTGTTTTGACCAAAATTGCAAGGGTGGTCTATTTTTTGACTGGAAGCTTGTATATAACTCGCTAAAGCTAGAATACAATACAATACAATACTAGTTCCATTGCGAAGGTGTCAAAGTTGCAGCTCATATTAAGATAACCGGACGGCCTTGCCCCGTGTGTGATAAACGCTTCAAGTACGTACAATTCCCATGGTATTGATGGCTTTGATAAACGGTTGAGCGCTCCAAACAATACACAACTCACATAGAAATCGCGAATCTCCACTGACAGTGTTCATTCCTCGAAAGTTTCACTGATAAAGCCAATCTGGATCGCAACATTGTTTTCGGTCCAGATTGCGCTTTCGATAAATGCACAATAAAGAAATAAATGAATAGATAAA